GGGGTTTTATTGTATTATTTTTATAATAATAGACATATAAACAGATATTCTATCAGACATTGCTCCTTTTGAAATTAAATCATAACTTTCATTGTGAAATTTCCTCTATTATATTTTGATTTTTAAAACAAATTTCGTTTGGTCTTATTTTTGATTAATTAAGATCTAATACTAATATTTTTTTTCTAACAACTTAAATAATTGTTAATTTATTGCTTTTAATGTATGTTTGATTTTAATTTTGTATTGAAAATTAAATAGTTGGTTTCTAATTTCAATATTGCAATTGTTCATTTAAAAGTTACTGAATTTTTAAAATTAAGAGTTTATTTTATGATTCATTTAATTTAATATTTTTTGTTGTTGAAAAATTGTGTTTATTGATTCAAATTTTCTTTGCACTTTTGAATTACAAAACTTTGTGTTATTGTTTTGATTTATATAGTTGTTATATTACATTTAATGTTCAATACTGTACAACTCATTTAATCTTATTATTAAGTAGACTTAAATTTAAATAGAAAAGATATATAATATAATTATTTAACAGTAACTGTATCTGTATAGTTTTATTTTGTGATCGGGGAACCTAGCTTTAAAGTTCACACACACCATGGCAGTTGAGATGGTAGGCAAGGGTGGACAAAAAGACTCACAAGATGTGGGAAATTTATTAAGTTCCTATGAAGCATTTAGCATTCAAGAAGTTTTAAAAAATGGACACATGATTCAGAAATTTATTTATTACAAAAAAGATTACAATTTGACAGCAGCATATATTAAAGAAATGCAACCCAATTTAGATATCAACCACTTCAAATTAAAATTAAGAAAATTGTTTTTGGTATTTGGGAAGAAGAAGACAAATCCTACTTTATACTGGACTCACATTGTAAACCTTTTAAATAGTCCTTTCATTGTTCCACACAAAAAAATTAGCAAGGCAGACGCTTAGCAACTTAGATAAAATTTACTCAGTAGGAACCAGCACAGATACTTACCGCAATGAAGGGCGTGCAGCACTTTGCATTTATAGCATTTCAAAGTTAAGGTGGGTTCTTTTTTATATTAATTATTTTTTAGTGAAAAATTTGCATTAAAAAAATTACAATAGAGTATAACATTTTAATGCTTTAAAATAAAATTGTAAAATTAACACTGTACCATAATTAAATTTTAATCCTCTGTGTATAGTATATATAGAAATTTAACAAGATTGTTATTTTTTTAATTTTCAGATACAAGCAGGGCTGTGGGGATCCATCAAATTTTAAAGGCTTTTTAAGAAGTAAAAATCTTCCCCTGGGCATTATTGTGCGATATGTTGGAAATCGCCTACATGTTTTATTTAATTTAGCTGCCGCAATCATATAACATCTTGATGATTTGAGATTTTATGTCCAAAATGTTTGTGTTTTGAAAGGGGGGGGGGGTAAAAAAAATTTACAGCGTTATTTGTAATATATGCAATTAAAAGCTTTAGCATTCTTTGGAAAGTTTTTAACTGGCCCATGGATGACCCTGTTCTACAGCAACAAGCACAGCAACTTAGAAATGGTATGTTATAGTTCATTTATAAGTACTGTAAATTAAATTTAGAATTTATAGCTTTTATTCTATTCTTTGACTTATAAAAAATGCTAATGAATTATAAAGCTATTTTCTTTTTCACAACAACTGAAATAAAT